TTATCGGCGTTCATCTTGGTCCCGACGAAACGACCCGAGCTAAGTTTGCGACTGGCACGAACGCCGGAGTGGAACAACGAATGTAAGTGATCGAAAACGACCTAACGATCAGACTGTGGTACCACAGGACGAGGAGTACCTGTAAACCAGTCACACACAATCGTCCCGGGCGATGCTGGGAGGGGAGCCTCACGCAGCTGTAGCGAAAAAGACGCAAGCATTTCAATGATGTAATCATCAAGCGCCTGCGCCTCTGCTAACTTCGTCAGGTCGAACTTGGTGGTAAGGGTGTTGACCTCTGGACGGGACAAAGCGTCAGCAACATCACTGCCGCGAATATAACGGTTGTCTGAAGTGAACTGCGAAATATAGTCAAGATGGCGCATTTCTCGCGGCGAGTATCGATCCGGCTTGACTTTGAGGGCGTAAGTGAGGTTTGTGATCCGTGTGGCCCTGAAAATCCTCCCCATCGAGCAGGTGTCGAAAGTGTCATATAGCCAGGTAAATGGCCGGAATTTCGCGCGAGAAAGTGCTATAGCGAGTCTGCACCGGCTGAAGCTTCTGAGAGAAGAAGGCTAGTGGCTGCAACTGATCGTTGGCCTGTTGCTGCAGAACTGCGCCGACGGCAATGTTGAAGACATCTGTGGTCAGAATTAGCTGGGTATCAGCAGCACTTCTCAAATGGTGAAGCAGGGTGGCAGCTGCGATTGCTTTCTTGGTTGCCTCAAATGCTTCAATAGTGCTGGGTGAAACCTGGAGCCAATTGGCCTTTGACTTCAAAAGATCCGTCAAATGTGCCAGGGTGGCGGCGCAATTGGGAATGAAACGTCAATAGAAGTTAATCAGGCCGATGAAACGGCGGAGCTGTGTAATGGACCGCGGGACTGGAAAAGATAGCACGCTTTGCACCTCCTCGGAAAGGGGTGTGATCCCGTGTTGGTCACGGTGATGGCCAAGAAATTCCAAAGAGGGAACGCCAAAGAGACACTAATCGATATTCAGCTGAAGACCATTTTGCTGAAAACGATCGAAAACTTGGCGTAAGTGCTCCCCGTGTGCCTCGGGGGACGAGCTCG